TTTGCTGTCACACTGGAAAAGAAGCAGTGCTGGCTTGCACACCAAATGCTGAAGTCATTGCTATATTTTGGGATTGCTCAGATCTGCATTTTTTAAGGCCTGCACATAACGCTTATAAACCAATGCCCACCGAGGGCAGTAAGAGGGCTCCAAATGATTTTATGTCCACAGTCTAATATGCTTGAAAGAAGAAAGTAAGGCTGGAAAACAAGAGGAGTTGTAAGTGGCCTGAACTGATAAGCTTGGAGATATTGCAGAGAAGAAAGGCACCGATGAGGCCGCCCACACGAGGACGACTTAACGCTTCCAGGAAAGTAAGTAAACGGCTCTTCATGATAGCAAGGCAATGAAGTCCGCACACGCAGGAGACATGGTGAAAGTAACTGGCATCACGACACGTGAGTTGAGTGGCAGAGAGCTAAATTACTGAAAGAGGAACGAACGGGCAACTCTCACGCACAAACCCACCCAGGGCAGGTGCTGGGTCGGATACACCTTGAGCCCAGGGAGCGTCCATCTGCCAAAGACAGCGGGCAGATGGAAGCCCTCCCGGAGCCACCTGTGCAAACAGAAGCACAGCCAAGAGCCACTTCCTTGCAGACTCACTAAGAAACCAGATTTGAGAGCTGGACACTTACAGAAATCCCACAGGGAAAGCTCTAGAGAACTTAAAATATCTGTGTGAAAATACTTAGGAATAAGACTCAGAAAAATATTTTTAGCGTACAGCTCAAGTACAAGAGCAAGTGTACTGCGAGAATTGTGGTCCCTTCTACCCCATCACTGCTGCTGAGTACTGTCTGCAGCTATCCTTAAAGTTTGACTATGAAGGATAAAAAAAATAGCAATAACAACAATCCACAGCTACGCTGGACGCTCCGTACTCACTTTCTGAAAGCACAAGGTGTGCAAGCATGATCAGAGACCTATGGCTTCTAACAATTAAAAGGTTAGACATGGACCAAGCAGATCATCACCATGGGAAACACGAGCTCTTCCCAAGAAAGCCAAGGTTAAGTAGGAAAAATAAATTGCTGCTGGAATTCTCTAATTGCAATAAAATTCCTCTCAGCCAAGAAGCTGGAGCAAGAGCAAAGAGAGGACATTCTTCAGCTGCTGGAAAGAACCCAACGGAAAGATCCACCTTCTTTCCCAGAAACGAAAGGGAAGTGGGCAGAGGAAGGACCAGGCCGTGCAGCTGCGTGCTTAGCACTGGCTGCACACGTATTCCCACGACACAGCAGCTCTTAAACCGGAGCTAACTTCAGCTTAGTGGTCTGGTCTCCAGCCTCTGAAGCACGTTACGTGTTCCTTACTGCCACTAAACAGATATATTGGAGTACTGCACCTAAAAATGAACACCACAAAAGCAGGGTGGTACGAGTCGTACTTGTTCTTCATGAATTTATGCTGACGTCGAGGGATCTTGGTGGGCAAGAGGAGTTGTGTTTGAAAAAATCACAGGACACAGCAAGTTTTCCTGGTTTACCCTCTGCACACCAGAGCTCTTAGATGGGATTTCAGGTGTTTATATCCTGACTCGCTAATGCTTTTGGATTTCCCCATGCAATTCCTCTTCAGAAGCACACCCGCGCTGCTCACCGAGTTTGACTTCTCAGCAGTTTATCAGATTCAACCCAGGTTACAGGTACTTATTTTTTCCCCAAATGCCCCATATAGCAACAACTTGAGGACACCTCCTGTCGACTCCAGAACAAAAGCATTCCGGCTTGGTAACCACTTGACCTGCAGCTGCCGAGCCCTGTCCCAGCCATAATTCTTACCTGAGGAGCTGGAGCAGCCCTCCAGTAAACACCTAATTACTACTCACCGCACATGCAAAGCAGAGCTGTGCTCCTCTGAGCAGCCCCAGCAGGCCTGATCTGACGATTTCATGTTCTCGAGGAGACCTAACCCACATGACTTCAGACAGGATGCTCTGAAATCCTTGTGCATAAAGCACTGCCTCCTTACAGCTACCCCAGGTGCCAAGAGCTGGTCAGTACCCCCAGCAAGCGAAAGAGCAACAGCTTTGCCCAGACTTACATCAGCCATGGGGATGAGAGTGTCGGCGAGGTGACCAATGCGGTTCTTTTTGTAGAGCCAGGACATCAGCAATATCCCCAGAGTCACATCAACCAGCAGAGAGACAAAGATGTTGGCTTTCCTGCATGCAGGGTAAAGAGAAACGGTGTTAGAGCAAAAGGACGGACGGTGTTTAATGTTTCAGTGACAGCTGCCCGCTTCGCTTACATAGCGTCTTTGATGTCGCAGGGACACCAGGCCAATTTACTGAAGAGAGACAGTGTAGAGATCTTTTGACTTTCACTGGTGTGCTGCTACTTCTGTGGCCAAAGACAGAGCCACTTGGAGCCTGCCACACCACAAAACCTTTCATAGTAAGGGGAGTGAAGAGTGGGACTGAAGCCACATAGAGGAATGTTAGACAAAGTGCCCGTGTGTGTGTGTGTGTGTGTGTGTATATATATATAAAAAAAATATATATACACACACACACTCAGGGGGGATTTACCAACACTAAGGGCACCAGCGCTTGGATTATCCACGTTGGGCATTCCCCAGCCCTTGGAGCATCCACCCTGAGATCAGATGCCTTTCCAAGAGGCACACTTGAGTTGAACCCCTAGCGATCAACAGTGTTTCTGGGTACATAAACGCACCCCAAAGGGCTGCTGAACTGCCCCCTTGCTGCTGGAGTTTCTGAATGAAACTCCATTACGTGAGTTATTCGGGAAGTCAGATTAAACAATCACGGTTACTTTTGGCCTTCAAATCTGCTCATCTATTTTAGGTGTTCCCTGGGAGTCTATTACTGCAGGATCAGAGAACCACGCAGAACAAGACTGACTGTGTCGTGGCCGTAGGGCATTCAATATCTGCCTCGGATCTCTGCCTCTCCCTGTTCCACTCACCATGCTGCATGTTTGCTTTTTCCCTTACACTGACTTTGTCACTGCTGTTGGAGTCTCTGGTCTCCAGTCACTGCAAGAAAGACTCCCCAAACCAGTGGGTGAACGAGGGGAGCATTTAAACCCTTCTGCTCTTATGGGAAGTGCCCCTGAATTCTGATTGCAGGTTTTGGTTACCAGCAGCGTATGTGAAAGCACTGAGCTTGTGGGAGTACCGACAGCAAAGCACTACACACAGGGGTGCCGTGCAGGCTTTCGGGGGGCAATACCCTGGCTGCCTTTCCCAGGCGAGGGAAAAGGGCACGTACCTGGCAAAAGGCATAATTAATATAAACAGAGTGCAAAGTAAAGATCTGTAAACTAGCAGGCAGTAGAGCAAGGCAGGCAACGCGACACGGTTTAGCAAGGACCCCGTAGTGCTGCGTGGGCACAGGATCCGTGGTTTGGGCTCCCCAGAGGAGACGAGGCTAGAGCAAAGGCGTGCATGACTTCTTGTGTACTCCATACCTCATTACTTGAGCCTGGGTTTGAGCCTTCTTGCCACTGCTGATGACCTGGAGGTGCTGCAGGCGATGTCCCAGCTGCTCACAAGTTGAGAGTTTGCTCCATAAGAAAGACAAAGGCCAAAACTTCAGCACCCTGCAGAAACACCATGGGAAAGGCCCCTTTTGCTTTCGCCACGCAGCAGGCTGCACAGCGTACAAACTCCATGCAAAACATGGCGTAAAGTTAAGGTTGTACAACCAGAGATGCTGTCAACGTATCATCATTAAAGGATATTAGATGTTAACTACGCTCTTAAAGGTTAGCAGAATTAAGGCAGCCTTTCCAGATTGAGACATCTAGGGCAGGCAGGACAAGGGGCAATGGGCACAAACTGAAGCACAAGAGGTTCCAGTTGAACGGGAGGAAGAACTTGTTGACTGTGAGGGTGCCTGAGCCCTGGCCCAGGCTGCCCAGGGGGGCTGTGGAGTCTCCTTCTCTGGAGATCTTCAACCCCCACCTGGACGCTGTCCTGTGCCCCCTGCTCTGGGTGAGCCTGCTTGGGCAGGGGGGTGGCATTGGGTGAGCTCCGGGGGGCCCTGCCAACCCCTGCTGGTCTGGGATTTTGTAAAACCCAGTGTCTCGCTCTTCCAAGGAAGGCAGAATGCAATCCTGATTCCAGCCAGTGCCCAGGGACACGTCCCTGGGATCGCACGCTGCTCTGAGGCACCAGGAGGCTGGAGTCAAGGCAGTTGTGTGCACGGCACAACACCACAACACGGCGCGACTGCTTCACAAGTCCTACTATTTCTAAGCACAAGTCTTTACCATATCACAAACAGCCGTATTCTCCCTGCAGTTTCTGTCCCTCTTTTCTTTTTCTTCCACTTGATCCTTTTTTTTTCCTCTCTTACTCCTAAATTCCTTTCTCAGGGTCTTCATTTCTATCCTCTCTCCACTGCCTTGCCAAGAGTGACCAGCACGATGCAGCTAACACGACAATTAGCATTTAATTAGGTTTCCCAGTTAACATCCCCACTAGGCTTGTAGGGGAGGAAACATTCACACGGTTCTTTTTTAGTGACTCAGAAGAAAAGTACTAAATGATGCTCAATTATTTTGGGGAGTTACTTGTATTACCACACAACCTATAACGAAAGGAACGATGGCCATTTGTGTAGGCTAAAACGACACTGCGGCACGCAGCCCAGCCAAAGGCGGCACAGCAACACAAAGCACCACGTTGTGGGGAATAAATTCTGATGGGGACACAACCTGGATCGCTTCTTTTCGGTATGCAATGGTGGTTTCACTATTTTCACAGTGTTTCTTGTTAAGGGTCCGAGAATCCATGTTCACTTTTAGTCCTTTTCTTCACCTACCCCCTCTTACTGTGGTGGCACGTCCCTTCCCTTTACATTCATTCCAAACACTAAAATGATTCCTGGTATCCTGCTCCGCTTTTGGAATTGTACAGCTGTCTGGGTCGTTAGCGAGTGCCGCCACCCAGAGATGTCCCTACAATGTGTGCACGCTTCCCTGAACTTCACCTGGAGGACTTTGCCCATGGGCCAGCAGCAGGGTGCCCTTAGGACTGCCCAGGATAAACTGCAGGATGGGCAGACGGGGGCCCCGGCTGCTATTTATACATTTTACACCAATCGTAAGGGTACAGCTCGTTCGAAATCCTGCTCGGTTCACTGTGGTTGCCATCCCCTTCCTCCCCCCACCCTCCTGAGCCCTTTCAGCCATCCTTCGTGCAAGGTTTGTCAGAGCACCAAAGTTCCCCCTTTCCCCCTCCCCGTACAAATTTCACGCACATTGGTTTTGAAACACAGGCAGTGTACTGTGAATCACCCTTCTTAATTTGAGGCATCCGAGTTACTCAGCTCTTCGTTACAGCCTCCCACCTTAGAGACAGATGAAGGCACTGTTCCTCAGCTGGCTTGTCAGGAGGCGATACCTAAGGCGGCGCAGGACAGCCCACCGTGCCGGGGAGGGAGCCGGGGAGGCGACGGCGCTGGCCACTGATCTCAAAGGCCTGGGCTTGCAGATTCACAGTGGCACAAGCGCAGACGAGTTTTCTCTTCCAATTATATCCTAACCCAGTGGTTACAAATTCTGGTGCGGCAAACCTCTGCTAGAGCAGAGAATTGCACTTGAAATGCAGAGAGGGGGGGAGGAGAAACGCTCTACCTGTGTGGTTACGCACAGACAGCTGAGGGCAGAAAAATTACTAGAGAAACCAAGGGCTGCCAGGCCATCTCAGTTCAAGTAGAACGCAACGGCTCTGGGGCCCCGTGCTAAACACTCGCTGGGCTGACAGTCTCCCCCATCCTCTCCCAGCAATGTCTGTCTCGTACCATGCATTGCTGCTCCACGACTCCCCGAGCTAGGGGCAGCTGGCTTGTGGGTCACCCGGCTTGTGGGTCGCCCAGCTTGTGGGTCGCCTGGCAGCCAGACACCCCTGGTCAAAGGAAGGGACGGGCTGCTCCTCTCTTCCGCCCAAGGAACGTCTTGACCAAGTGAGAAGGATTCCAAAGCAGCCTCATTCCCAGGAGCACCCGCCAACACGTGCACCCACGGCCGCCTGCAACGGGGAAATGCATCTCCGTGATTGAGCAGGATGGGGAGACACCAACCTCTATGCCACTTTGGAAAGTAAATACATACACATCCTTATTTAAATAAAAATACAGGCACGCTGCAAAAAGCTCAATGTGATAAATGCAAGATGTGCTACGGAAACTCCCGTCTCCAAGAGTGCTGAAGAAGAAAGCCAGAGATGTTTCTTGTGTAGTCTTCCACCCCTGTACCTACTGACCATGCGTTGCCATAAATGCTCCCACTTGTTTACCACACTGTATATAGAACAATTTTCAGAAGTGCAATGGAAAACCAACCAAATTAAAAAAAACAAACAAACAAAAACCAAGTGATGTCATGTCATTGCACTACTTAAGCAGCAGGAGAACCTTGGGGTATTTCCAAACATAAGGAATTTTAGCAATAAATTAACATAGCCTGCATGAGTCAATCTTGATTTTCCAATTCAATGTTTTTTCCAAGAGCAAGAGTGGATTTTTCAGGGATCAGATGAAAAGCAAACTCTCTGAATCTGGATCACATGCGAATGTTAAAGCTCCATTAACCAGAACCCCCAGCTGTCTTTTTGCTCCTTGCTAGAACCTGGAGGAACAGTGCCTCCCTTCCGGATGAGGAATCAAAGGTCATGGCGTTTGCAAACGGACCTTTTTTTTTTTTTTTTTTTTTTTTAAAAAGAGCAAACATAGTTTATTGCCTCGATACTAAATCACCCTGATGTCCCCAACAGCGCACTAGAGACCTTCAGCGGTAATGGAAATCCCGCACACCAGCCTGACTGAAGAGAGGGTTGCAATGGCCATCCCTTAGCACATGGTGGTGCTGAAGAAATGCCTTCATCTGAGAAGGACAGGACTTGGGAGCCTCAGGAAGCTTGGATGGATGTCAGCACTCACTTCCTGAGATTTCCAGCTCTGCTGCCCTGCTTCCTCAGCACAAACGCGCAGCTGTGGCATATCCAAAACAGCCCTAAGCCTCCGCAGCCTGAGAGGACATGGCTGATCTCTTTCAAAGCTGACTATCCCTTAACATCACCAAAACCTGGGAAAGAAAGAAGTCCCATAACCGGGAGGAGCAAAAACCTGGCCGATGTTATTTTATGGGATGCCCTGTCCCAGCACAGGGAGGAGGGGACTGGAGGGACACCTGCACGTGACATCTCAAACCCTCTCTGCCTTGTGCACACGAAGGCGGCGGTACCACACGTCACGTGCTAAATTGAACCAAATTACATTCAAGGACTTGGAAGGTCAAATGGGAGGTTTGCTATAAAGCCAGGTGCTAATCTCTGTTCTCCAAGACCGATGTTTTAAAACACCCGTAAGATAAGTAAATGTAATGTTGATACAATGGGTGAATAAAACAAAGCAGAAAGAAACCTCTATCTACCTCCCAAGGTTAAGAAAAGGTTCAGCCTAGGTTTACGTACAGCTGACTGCTGCCTGGCTGCTGCTCTGGCTCAAAACGTCCCTACTGGGCTTAGGAAAAGCCAAAATCAGAATAGCTGCCGATAAGCTGGGTAGCAGCTATCTGTGCCCAACCTGCCAGTCTGAGCTCAAGCTCCCAGTTATGCTTAGACTGGGGCCTTCTGGAGACCTGCGAGGCTTGGGCTTAACCTGACTCTAAGCCTGGTCCGAATCCTAGCACCGATCAAGGTGGGCAAGTCTGACTTTGAGACCAAGTCCCTACGCAGAAAAGGATCGTCCTGTTTGTTGGCAGTCGCACGCAGTCCATGGACAGCCAGATAAAGGACCATGGGAGTTGACTCCCAGTCTTCTACCCAACCACAAAGTTCTGACTTAGTTACCATTAACGACCATTAATGCACAGTTAGTGGCTACAGAGCCGGACCAGGAACCAGTGGTCTCTGATTGTATCAGGTTTGGGTTTGACCCTAAATCTATTCCGATAGCGTAGTCCAAAGCCAGGCGGTTTTCCCTCTGTGTACCAAAATACATAACCATTTTGCATATGAAGAGTTTCACCGTAATTATTTTATGTCCGATTCATACAACTGGAAACCTGTTAAAAGACTCTGTTCCCCATACCCTGAGGCTGTACTCAAGAAGATTTATCCATGAATACAGTAGTAGCTGTTACCCAAATTTCATCAATCAAAGTGTCCCCTTGCAGCCTGGAACCTGAGTTCCACTCCCCTCTCCGCACAACCTCTCTAGGCGGGCTGCCCAGATGTGTTCTTAAGCTTTCTACGCAGAAGCTTCCCCCCTTCAAACCCGCTCAGAATTCCTCTTCAGCGCAAGCACTTGCCACCTGTTACATTTGAAGTGTCTTATTCAGTTCCATGGTTGTGACAGCGGGATTCCACCACGGATTCCTGCAGTCCAGCATTCCCTGTGACCTGCTGCAAGGTGCACAGGTTGCAGCACCACCGCCTGCTAGAGAGATGATGGGTGTAGACACGCTATTTGCTGATGCTTCACAGCCATGGAGGGAGTCATAGCAAACAGGGAGTAAGGAGTCCCAGCTGTCGAGCCCTTAAGGAGATCCTCACGTCATTCTGTCAGCCATAGAATAGCTGGAAACCCAATGTTTTAGCTGTGATGAAACTGAAGTGGGGCTGAGCAACCCCTGCTGCAAACAGGGAGGAGATCAGGAGGTCAGCGCCTCCCCAGAAAACCTCCCAGCTTCTTGAAAAGCTCTACCATATCTGAGGGAGCCTTTAGCCTTGCATTTTCAACAGAGCTCCCCAAACTTTAACAGCAGCCTTGCGGCAGCCCGTTTCCAACAGAATGATTTTCTATCAACCATATTTCTCACTGGGGTGGAGCAGCAACCCTGCAGATGCCTGAAGAGGAATTACATTTCCACACAAAACGTAAGCTGGCTGATGTCGCAACACTTACCTGCTCCTGCAGATCCCAGAAATAGAGGCCTGCTTCATCAGCTCCACGATGATACTAGCTTCAACGCCATCCGACTGCCAGTGGGTCAGCTTGATGGGCCCATCATCGTATCTGTCCGTCATGAACAGCATCTTACTCTTCGCAACGGTGTCGAAGATGGCAGAGAGCTTTGAAGCATCATCTGCCCGGTGGTCAGCAGAGGTCGCAGTGTCCAAAGGGGGATGCAGGTGGGAAAGCATGACTTTGCGCTGGTCATAGTACACCAAGATAATTTCTTCCTCCTTAGGGTTGTTAGAGCGTTTCTGAAGGGTAGAACAGCTCCAGAATTTGCTGTCTCCTTCTTTGCTTATCTGAATCCACGGCTCATGGGAGAATATTGTCCCAAGGTCTTCCAAGAACTCACTCAGACTCTCTTCTTTCTCCTGTTTGCTGTTGCTCCACGAGCCGAGCACGGAAACACTGACTTTAGTCACCCGCTGGACTTCACTGAGATACTGCTTCACCTGGACAGGAATAAAAGGGAAATGGACCACGGCGAGGACAACAGCCGAGTTCTGTTCGGAGATCCAGCGGCCGATCAAAATCCCACTTTCTGCCAAAGAGCAGCACGACGGAAAGAAGACCTTCAGTACCATGGCAGTGATCCTGGAAGAATAAACACAAATAAAACTTGAGAATGGTGATTAAATGCAAGGAGAATCTGAGCTGACCAAAGTCACCGGGGGGGAGGACGAATCAAGTGTTAAAACACTAACGCCAACCAACCACCCGCATCATGACATTAGTGATGGCCAGCAGACATACACACATCGGAGAAGTATTCAGGAGGTTCCTGATAATCTGTGGTCTTTGAAGCGAGGGGCGTTGAGCCTGGAGTTTCTCAGCAAAGCCCTTTTCCCAGTCCCAGAGCAGTGCTTCATGACAGAACACCGAGAGGCACAGCCCGTCGGACCAGCTGAGATCAGGAATCCATCCAGCCTCGGATCTCGGATCTGACACTGGATGGGCTTGCGCACCTCCTAGAGAAGGGACCACATCGTAGTACGCTGCAGCGCCTCTGGGGAATATTACCTCCTCTTACCAACAGTCAAACAGTGGTTTGTGCTATAAAGCCAGATCATTTCAGAGCCTTTATTGTCTGGGAACCCAGAGCTGCACTCTGCAATAAACTCACTGACCGGCCTTGGTCGGGTCACTCATCTCCTCCCGTCCCACTCCTCTCATCTGGAAACAGAGGCGACGGCTTTGTCCAAAGGGACTGATTGAAGCTTATGTGGTGGTTTTAATTCATTAGATACAAGATCCTAAGAAAGGAGAAGTGTCTCTGCTTTATCAGTGTTCTTTATCTACAATATTTTTCTTCGTGTTATTACAAAACCATCAAACATCTCAATGGCTCTGTAAGACTTTTACAAAGCGGAGCTCGGAGGCAGCTGATGATGTCTCTTTAAATAAAGTGGAGGTTTCTAACAGAAATATAATTGCAGTAAGGAGGGCGCTGGCACAGAACAGTCGGCGCCCGGCGCCTGTTGTCCTTTCCTGTCCTTCAGTGCTTTGTTAGAGACGTGAAAACTCCGCAGGCCCCCGAGGCTGGCTCCTCTGCGAGGGACCCAGTCAATCGGAAAGAGGAACGCAGAGTATATTTATAACACGCAGAGAGGATGCGCAAGGCAGAGGTCCCTGGCGTTTCGGTTTTTTCTCTCCTTTTGACACAGGACAATCGATCAAGTAAACCTCAGCGCCTGGCAATTCGCTACAGCGTGGAGGAGGCGATGGGGAATCACAGAATCGCAAGGGTTGGAAGGGACCTCAGCGAAGGCTGCTATTTATGTATTTCAATGAACCTACTCCCAACCCGGCCATGTACAGCAGTAGGGAACGCCTGCCTACGGACGAGTTGTCAGCCCCTCGAGGCGGCGAGGTGAAGTCTCCTGGGTGCACAGCTCGCTCCTCCGATGGGAAGTAATGGGGTTTTTTTCCTGGGGACTGAATTTTCCCCTTTTACTACAAAACTGCAAAGCACAGACCTCCCCTCAAAGAGGCGTACGGGCACTCGCCAGGGATTTTGTCCGCAGCGTGCTGCGCCGGGGAGCACCGTCCCACGCTGCCTCACAGACCCACCAGCCCATGGCGAGATTCGGGGGCCACAGAGAGAATTCCACCCCTCCCTCCTTGGCCAGAAGGATATCCTCGGAGACGAGGAGTCTGCAGGGAAGCAGGATGGCGGAAGAACTTCAGATGATGTGGTTTTCCAAAGGTCTGCAAGCCTCCAGCAGAAGGGGAAGGGAAGCGGAAAGAGGCATCAGAGGAAGAGCAGAGAACGGTGGATGTGACATCCTGGGACCGCAAGGGTGGGAGAGACCAAAGCCCTGCAGTACGACTGAAAGCCGTCATCTTTCCCCAGACAAAGTTTAATGGCCCAAATGAACTGAAACCCAAGGCACCCAAGCTTATTTTTCACTTCTACTGAAATAGCTAAGACTCGGGTATTTTTTGGTGGGTTTTTTTTCTGGAAGACCACGAAGACATCGAAGGACCCTACCTGGAAGAGCTGCTCCTGGCACACAGAGGAAACTGTGGTGACAGTCACCTAACAGACAGTTGGGTCCTTAAAGAAAGTTTGAAATAAAGCTTGGCCCCTACGTTTTGTTTTTCCTTCTTCTAGAAAGACTGCAGTTTGTCTGAGGATACTGGCCAAAATAGTCTTCCCCTCGCCGCCTCTCCTAGCTCCGATTGTTAAAGAAACATCGGCAGGTGAGATGTGATTTGCTTCACAGTTTAGCTTCAGGTCTGAAAAAGGATTTTCTTTCTTTTCCCCTCAGACCCACTCCCAGGAAAAAGGAAATCAGTGATATAAACACAGGGGCTCCAAATGGCAAAAGAACAGATGGAACATGCCGGGAGCATACACAGGCGCATATGCCCAGAAAGGATTTAAAATTATATAAATTTAGCGGAAGTGATAACACCCTAGCTACATCGCGGTCCCAAAACCTTACAAGTGAAGTTTACCAATAACTGAATACTCCAAAAACTGAGACTGAGCTCGCTATTTTAAAGAAAAACAAGGAAAATAAGGACTTGAATGGGGTTTTTCAATATTTCTGTTTTAACTACCAAAGCTACCACCAGTAATATTGGACAGGCAACTTTTTAAAGTGGGGTTTTTATTCTTTTTCCTCAGGTGTTTGAGAACATCGCTGCAAGGGACTTCCAGCGCCTCGGCACGGCTGCCCTGCTTAAAGGTTTGTCCATCCACGGGACGTTTCAGAGAGGAATTATCAACTGACTCGTAATTAAACCATTTCTTTTTCACTGAGATTTTTTTTCTTTAAAGGTAGTCACAGTCATCTGGGAAAACTTCTCACAGAGGAGAAACGCTTCTCATCCTTATCTTCTCCACATTGTGGGTTTTTCCTCCTACACCTTCCCCAACCTTTTACATTAACTTAGCTTTATGCAGCTGACTGCTGCTCAGGTTAAATAAACCCCAAGCACATCATCTGCCCTTTGGCTGCTGCAGGTAGGGCAGAGAATGCTCCGAGACAGTTTCCAGGCTGTACAGAATATCTCGATAGCGGAAAAGCCTCCGCTATTCCCGTGGCATACAGTTGTAACCTGGGAGCTCCGGCGGCAGAGCTGGAATTCCCAAATCCACCACCGGTTGTGCATCCTACTGTATTCATTTCAATAGGCTGTTGGAAGCCTAAAGCTGACATTTTAAATGTCCCCACAGTCACTGCTGTGAATTTTAAGAGAAATACCCTACCAGTACGGTTAATCCATGCTCATAAAGCGCCTCAAGCCTCCCAGATCTGCCCAGTCCTGCTGGAGAGCCCCAGCTTTTCCCCCCGAGATGCCGCACAGGGGCAGCGCAAGGACCTCGGGCGCAGCCAAACCAACAACGGGGCAGCCGAAAAAGCACCCGCGCCACCCACAGACGAGGAAGGGGCCCCGGGACCGATGCATTTGGGAATTTTGGAGAGAACAGCGAAGGCGGAC